AACAATTTAAAAACTTGTTATCGAGGAGAAAGCTAGTCACGTGACTCACGTCTAAGAGATTAACATATCCGATTCAATTCCTTTTCCAGTTTTCACCTATTGACTACAGTCAAAAAAATTTAACTCGTCATTATAATTGATATGGTCAAAAAAGAATTTATCGATCAAGTAATAGATAAAAAATAAACTTGTCGAAATTCTGTTGATTTTAATGTAATCAAAGTTTGGGACTCCTATGTATTTTGTCTATTATTTTGTTTGAATTTACCTAATTTTACATAGCTGATTATATAGTTGTTTCTTGTTCAGTGAATATATCATGCATGCCATATGGTCAAGTCAAGTCTAGTTCTTCATGTATTTTTCATAATTTGGGTTGAATTTATGTACATAAGAAACTTCCCCGTAATTTCCTAAATTAAATAATCTCTCTCCATCTATACATATATAGAGAGAGAAGGAAACATACACATTCACATGGATTAATTTATCTATTTCTTTACAGATAATATATTCATATAGCCATTCTCATATTTTGAAAGCGTTGCAAGATTGCATTTTTCCATTTTGTTGCACAAGTCATTCTTAATTAGATTCATAACAGAGAATGCCCTTGCAACACTTGCAGCTGGTAATATCAAAGTCAACGTGATGAGCCTATAAACAAATGAAAAAAAAAAAAGAGAATTTCTTGTTTCAACCAACTTCTGATTTGTTACGATGAGTCTATAAACCAATAGAAAATAAAAGTGGTTTGCAACAAGTTCATTGCACGGTCGCCCTGGCTCGGTTCTTGCTATCAATACGTCAATATCATAAATTTAAAATCGACAAATTACCTATGACCAAACAATTGACAACACAAAAAAGAAGAATTTAACAGATTCTTGATTCCTATAATTTTTCTAAATTAGGTCCCCACTGATTCACCTAAAGTCTAAATTCAGGTTCTATATATAGACAAGAATCATTTTCATACTCAGACAATTAATTATGACTCATTACTAGTCCTCACGTGCTTTCAAGAAAAGACCATAGACTTCCTAGTTTAAATTCAGTACGTGGGCTGCTTCAATGGGGACGCCGCACATAGATAAATTCGTACGATTTGGATATCTTTTTCCCTTGTCTTAGATTTTAATCTAAACAAAAATCAAGAACAAATTTTAACTACATATTTTATGGGAATCACAATTTTTTGATCATACATTTCATCAACTTTTATCAAAATCTAATTTTAATCCCTATCAAAGCGAGGCTACATTCAATGTACATGTGCAAACTTGCCAATTGTCTTACTAAT